TGAAGCTGAACCATCTAGTTTGCATATCAATACCTTCAGGCCTGAATAACTTCAGTCAGCTGATGAATGAGAGATTTGCTGCTATCTCAGGTCTCAGGGCTCTCTGCAGAGAGAGACATAAAGGAAACTTTTCAGCAGCGGAGAGCTCAACGACATAGCCCGGTGGTTCCCTTTACGCACTCCTCACCAGTGAATGGGATTGTGTGACTTGAAGATATTCTATAACTAGAGAGTATACACTGGGGAAAGTGAACACCACCCGCCTGTCAAACGTTAGCACGTTTTGGTTTAAAAAAATCTGCTGAGGTAACTGATCGCCTCATAACTCCTCTGAAAATGTTGCTGGCAGTGAAAGTGGCTGCAGAATTCTGAATGAAAAACCATGTGGTCTTGACCTGAAACTGCAACTTGCTCCACTTTCATCCCTGTTTTTTACTTCTTTTTAATCTGTTATAAAATCTAGCCGTTAAGCTGATAAAATCCAAACGCATGCAGTGAGTTCAAAAGAGAGCTTTGCTTAAAAAACAAGGTACTTAAAGCAACAGAAGCTGTAAAAATGGTAAAAATGTATCAAACCTGAAAGTTGCTCATGAAACTGTGCAGGGATCAGCGAGTGCACAGCGGTAGTTGACAATTCATTATGTGTACGCCAGCTTCAATTTCTGCTGCTAACACAAGTGTCATCCAAGCTTTTTCTATGTTAATGGTAATTGAATTGAACTGATACAACTGCTGATTCAAATCTAATGAAATAAGAATTTAAAATAATGCATAAATTCAAAAATAGATACATTTCTCAGGCTGCGCAGCTCTTGAAGGATTAAAGTCGTAATCAGGTCCAGCATCCCCCCTCCCCCACCCGTGTATTTGTGTTTAGGTGCTTCATCGATTAAAGATGCAGGAAAGATCTATCATTTGATAAATAATATTATACAAATACGATAAGTATGATAGTGACCCATACCTGACCCCAAAGCTAAATCACAACGACGCTGGAACATGGCACCTATAAGCTCATATCTCCACCACCTATAAACTAAAGAGGCAGCTATTGATTGGTAGCATCTCCCCTCAGTGGAGGTCCCAGAGGCTGAGAATGTAATATTAATGGATCAGGAGGGTGTTGCTGTGTGTGTTTATAAGTGTGTGAGTGTGTGCATGCTTCTGCGCTCGTAGTTCAACCTGGGTGACTCCATTAACCAGCATGGCAATAGCGGTCAGCAGTTTATGGTGACCAGGATCACAGGTCAAGGGGGAGAGAAGAGGTCAAAGATTGCCATCCCTAAAAGGTCTCCAATCACCCTGGTGAATTGATTGCTTACACATCAGAAGAGCCACTGTCCTGTGTTAACTTCAAATTTAACCGCAGACGCCTGCAGCTACACGACCCCTACAAAAAAAAAAAAAGCCACCCCAACTACAGGGAGTGCAGAATTATTAGGCAAATGAGTATTTTGTCCACATCATCCTCTTCATGCATGTTGTCCTACTCCAAGCTGTATAGGCTCGAAAGCCTACTACCAATTAAGCATATTAGGTGATGTGCATCTCTGTAATGAGAAGGGGTGTGGTCTAATGACATCAACACCCTATATCAGGTGTGCATAATTATTAGGCAACTTCCTTTCCTTTGGCAAAATGGGTCAAAAGAAGGACTTGACAGGCTCAGAAAAGTCAAAAATAGTGAGATATCTTGCAGAGGGATGCAGCAGTCTCAAAATTGCAAAGCTTCTGAAGCGTGATCATCGAACAATCAAGCGTTTCATTCAAAATAGTCAACAGGGTCGCAAGAAGCGTGTGGAAAAACCAAGGAGCAAAATAACTGCCCATGAACTGAGAAAAGTCAAGCGTGCAGCTGCCAAGATGCCACTTGCCACCAGTTTGGCCATATTTCAGAGCTGCAACATCACTGGAGTGCCCAAAAGCACAAGGTGTGCAATACTCAGAGACATGGCCAAGGTAAGAAAGGCTGAAAGACGACCACCACTGAACAAGACACACAAGCTGAAACGTCAAGACCGGGCCGAGAAATATCTCAAGACTGATTTTTCTAAGGTTTTATGGACTGATGGAATGAGAGTGAGTCTTGATGGGCCAGATGGATGGGCCCGTGGCTGGATTGGTAAAGGGCAGAGAGCTCCAGTCCGACTCAGACGCCAGCAAGGTGGAGGTGGAGTACTGGTTTGGGCTGGTATCATCAAAGATGAGCTTGTGGGGCCTTTTCGGGTTGAGGATGGAGTCAAGCTCAACTCCCAGTCCTACTGCCAGTTTCTGGAAGACACCTTCTTCAAGCAGTGGTACAGGATCTGCATCCTTCAAGAAAAACATGATTTCCATGCAGGACAATGCTCCATCACACGCGTCCAAGTACTCCACAGCGTGGCTGGCAAGAAAGGGTATAAAAGAAGAAAAACTAATGACATGGCCTCCTTGTTCACCTGATCTGAACCCCATTGAGAACCTGTGGTCCATCATCAAATGTGAGATTTACAAGGAGGGAAAACAGTACACCTCTCTGAACAGTGTCTGGGAGGCTGTGGTTGTTGCTGCACGCAATGTTGATGGTGAACAGATCAAAACACTGACAGAATCCATGGATGGCAGGCTTTTGAGTGTCCTTGCAAAGAAAGGTGGCTATATTGGTTGCTGATTTGTTTTTGTTTTGTTTTTGAATGTCAGAAATGTATATTTGTGAATGTGGAGATGTTATATTGATTTCACTGGTAAAAATAAATAATTGAAATGGGTATATATTTGTTTTTTGTTAAGTTGCCAAATAATTATGCACAGTAATAGTCACCTGCACACACAGATATCCCCCTAAAATAGCTAAAACTAAAAACTACTTCCAAAAACATTCAGCTTTGATATTAATGAGTTTTTTGGGTTGATTGAGAACATGGTTGTTGCTCAATAATAAAATTATTCCTCAAAAATACAACTTGCCTAATAATTCTGCACTCCCTGTATATCCAGCTCCAGCCACCAACTTTAGTCAGTTTTTGGCACACACTTAAAACAAGTGTGTGCCAAAAACTGACTGAACATGTGTCTACGTTCAAATGACTACAGCGCATTTAAAACTGCTGAGAGGCTTTCTGCAGTTTTACGCTGTTAGAGCCAGAGTCACTTTGAAGAAAGCATTTTCCATCATGGACAAACGTATAGTTTGACATCCTGGTGAATTATCTTAATGCTGAAAGTTAGATGGGAATATTGATGCCTCTCTCACATCTGTTCACTAAATATGACGCTAAAGTCAGCAGATGGGTAACATAGTTTAAACTCCAGGAACTGACTGACTAACACTCTGGGGGATACAGTCAATTTTTCGGGTCTTTTGTGGCCAGGATGTCCTGATAGTAGATAACAGATATTCAGTTCCAGACTTCCTGTTCCATGTGCCATTTATTCCTTTTGAACAAGGATAAATTCCCCAAAAGCTTATACAGAGCTTAGTCATCAGGTGATGGCTGGTTGTTGATGATTTGTGAGAGAAGGAGAGCCGAACGATTGAAAAAGAAGGTTTACAAGGTGGTGGTGAGACCTGCTATGAAGCACAGGGGGATTGGCTGAGCTGAAGGTGGCCGAGCTGAAAAGTTAATAAGATTTTAATTGGAAATGATCATTGGACAGGATTAGAATTCAATTTATCTAGGAGAGATAATTCAGGCTGAGCAGTAAGATGGTTTGAACATGTGCAGAGGAGGAAAACTGGCTATACTGGACAAAGGATGTTGAATATGGAGCTGCCGGGTAGGAGGAAAAGAAGAGGAGAACTACAGTAATGCAGAGGGTTGATGTGACAGAGTAGGATGGTAGAGATAGGGTTTGATGGAGGCAGATGATTTGCTGTGGCGACCCTTGAAGGGAGCAGTCGAAAGAAGGCGACGGTGATGACTCTGTGATTATCATATTTCATCATATGTGATCTCTTTTCTGATCTCCAAAACGATTGCTTATTTCTATCAAACCAAACCTTTTTCAAATGTGATTTGAGAAGCTTTTGCATAGTTGCACGCATATATCTGTTACTAAAGATGAGCACAGTTTAGACTGAAAACTGGCTTGATTAGTAGGCTTTTTCTAAATTTAACAAATTTAGCCTACCAGCACATTTAAACCGCACTAATTAGACATGACATTACCTTTTCACTCTAACCCTAACATTTTTATTATTAAGTAATGATAATGACGATAATGATCTAAAAAAAACTGCCAGTGCAGTAAAAGCATGCCTGGAAAGAAAAACACTATCGTAGATTGGCCTCACCAGAGCTTGAACTTCAGCAATGTGGGATCATCTAGGTGGAGAACAAAACAAAAGGCCGCCGACATCTAAAGAAAAGCTTTAAATGTCCTTCAAGAAGCCCGGAGAACGATTCCTAAACACTACTTTAAGAAACGACAAAAAAATATTGCCTAAGAGAGATCAAACTGTGTTGAAGAATAAAGATGATCATACTGTTTTTGCCTTGTATAATCTATTTTGTTTGAATAGGCACAACAAAATGGATAGATGTCTGCCTGGATACTATATTCCCATTTATGTATTCATATATTTCAATAAACAGCTGCACCTATTTCCGTGGTGCAGCTCAAGACTTTTTGCATAGTACTTTACAGTAGCTGTGATGGATGTGGAACAGAGGCTAGCTGTGGTGTGAGATCATGACTGCTGAAGTGCCAATCTCATTTTAAAGCTGCTTTTTCTTTCAGGATGAAATATTAAACAAATAGTCTGTACAATTTCATATGATGTAAAGGAATGGGGTCATTCCTACATCATCTCTTGCAATAACACAACACCGATTAATTACGCGTTCTTTTCTAGTCATCACGAGTCTCGTACATCTTGTCCAGGAACCAGCAAATCATCTGCCCCGCAGATGTATGTTGTAGTCTTGGCAGCAGCAAACTCGGCATGTCTGGAATGAATACAAAGAGTTTGATCCGAATACTTCTCAGAAATAAATTGCAAAAAATGACCCAAATGCTTGTTTCAGAACAAAATATTTAGTCAGAATTTCCAGCAGAATTTCAAATACAAAAGTTTCAGAGAAAACATCTCAACAACACTGTGCCACCTTATAAATTAGACTTTTAGAAATACACAGTTACATGTAAGTACTGTACCATGTGACAGGGTAAGTGTTAATCAAACAAAGTGGAAAAACAGTCACTGGTTTACTGGCTGTAAATGTTCCTCTCCAGTCTTTAACAATGCATTCATTGCATTAATGACATAAATAACTGCAAATTTACAGCTTGTAGTTGACCATGGCTGGTTTCCCTCTCTAACCTTTTTTCATCAGAACCAGCTATATATCATCTTTGCTACATCTTGTATTTAAAAAAATGAAATGATAGTCCATAAAACAAACTTTAGACTTTTTGTAAGTGTATATAACCAGAGTTGAACTGTTATTTATGTTGATTTAGTGTAACTATTTCTGAATGATCAACTTGTGTCTCAAACCATTTGCATTTATTGTGATTGCACCATTGCGTATCAGTTACTGTCGTTTGGTTTCTCATGGCTTTGTTCACCCATCGAATCTCTTTTTCTTTTTGGTTTAACTTTGTGAACATCTCCCATTGTCAGTGTTTTGGATAGCAATGGCAGCTTAACTTGGGGTGTCAAGTGCTTGAAATCCTGATTTAAGTAAATAGGCATTATGCTTTAGTTTGCCTTCTGCTTGTCTGTATGAGCACAAAACAAGCCATTTGCACAAGACTTTGTCGAAAATGCTTGCTCAAGTGCTTCAAAGAATTGAAGTTTTCTAAACTTTGTTAGCATGGTTGTTATAAAGCCAGGTGAAGGCTCCTTTGTGCATTGGCATTCAGGTATCATACTTTAATAAATGAAAAACAAAAGGCAAGTTATACAGAGTAGAACCTTTGGCGACAAAGAACACACAGTATCCCTGCCTGTGTTTAACTGTTGGTGAATAGTGGTGGCAGTTTTTAAGAGCTTTGGTGAGTTGCCATTTGGTCCCAGCCAAAGTCGTGGCCAGTCATTTGGTAAAATTTAAGATTAAAAGGTCTGTAGAAGTCTCTGAGCCTGAGCAGGACTTCAGAGGGTATCTGTGGATGGGGCCTCCCCTTTGACTTCCCCAGGCAGCGAGGCCTGCTGCTCCCCTCAGGCTTCTTTAGGCAGGGGAAACCTTTGGTCTGGTTGAAGTAGAAGTGCTTATCTGTGACCACGCGCTTGAGCCCTAGGAAGTCCTGGACCCGACCCATTTCACCCGCCGGGTCTGTTACAAGGCGTTCGCCGCTGACAAACAGGAAGCGCGACATTGGAAAGTAGCGCAGCCAGTTCTCTAGGTGCTTGGCGTAGATGCCGATGCGTACAGCGCTCCAAGACGTGTCGATGAGGCCTGTGGTGGCGTTACGAAAAGCCAGGTTCTGAAAGGATGGAAGCCCGGGAGATTTGGACAGAGTCTGCGTGTAATCGGAAACAGCGCGCGTCACAGGGTCCCGAACCACCACGATAAGCCTGGTGTGGCGGCTCATGGAGAAGACGCGCCGAGGAGCTTCTTTGGTGATGAAGTAGCTCGGCGTTTTCTCCATGGTTATCTGGCCTTCCAGAGTACGAGGCATCAGGTTCCTGGATGAAAGAGAGAAAGAGAGAAAAAGCCATTTAACACAGTCGAAAAGCCCCCCCAAAAAACCCCACTACACTGTAGTTACTGAGAGCTCACATATTAAGAGTACATATTAGAGAAATGATACATTCCCTTAATATTTCCAGCACATTCCTTTGACGATGCCTCACTTGCCTTCGAGGCTTTTTGATTTCGGTTTGTAATTAGAGGGATAAATCGGTGATTAGAGAGAGATAAACATGGCATTAGCTGCTGGCACTGATGGAGTGACCATGTGAGTTTAGTCTGGGAGGGAGCTACTGAACGGCTACTGTAGGAAAACCGCGAGGCTATGCTAACCTCAGAAAAGTAATTTCCTCATCTCATCCGCGGCCTCCTTCTAAACAAGCTCATAACCGCTGCTCTTGCTCCTGTGTTCCTCGATGATGGGAGAATGTCCGGCTGGCCTGAAGTAATAGCCACACTGCTGTAATACCACTAGCATTTCTTACAGCACTGCTCTCACTGACACCTGGAAATCAAAAGTATAGCAGCTAACTGTTACCTAGCTAACTTTCATTATCTCGTACTGCTTGCTTTGAATTGCAAACACACTGCCAGCTGTCGGTCTACCGGCTGCTGTCGACTAAAACAGCTGCATGCTAACTACAAAAGCTTCCAGCAATCACGAGGCAGTTCCTCCAGAAATTTAGTTTAGATTACTACTTGAGTAAAATGTTATATTTGCAGTTTGGCCATCTTTGCTAATCAAAAACACTGCATTCACTCGCCAAGCGGGCATTTTTCAACAGCAGACACTTTGACCTGTCACATTAGGAAACCACAGGTGTTACTAATTACTGACGGTGCTCTGTTGTGGCTTTTCTCAGCAAGCCGAGACAGGACAGCAGAAAGAGTATCGCGCCGGTACCAGGGCCCCGAAACTGAAGCTGCTAAATGGAATTCAACTGTCATTAATCTTTTATTATTTACATGTGTGCCTTTTCTGCAATGGCTAAATGTTTTTTTCCAGAAAATGGTCTATTGCTCACATTCGGGAATGTGGGAAGACTCTTAGAAAGAACATGGTCAGATAGTCAAGTTATTTGGACAAACACACACTTTAAGGGTTTAGATAATCTAGAAAAGCTCCAATATGACTCTGCTGTTGGTTTCATGCATATTTAGGCTTTATAGTCAAAGCCAGTCAAAATATGTAATATGAAATATTATTTGAAAGTAATTTGCACCGCTGTGAAATTTAAAACGTCGGCTCACAGTTTAACCCGAGGGTAGAAATGGCATGCGTTTGTTTTTCTCTGACTTGGAATGAAATGCAATGTGATGAAGAAGTTACTGTCAAGAGGCAACAAAATGAAAGTCACAGTAACTCTGCACCGTGCCCACTCTTTGACATTGAAGTACATTATGAAGTATGCTTCAGTTTGTCTCTTTTGCTCCCCATATTTCAGTCCACTCCTCTTTGCTCTCTATTTCCATTATCCCCGCCCGAGTGGACTGACCTCCTGCTCGCCATTGCTGCCACATCTTTATGACGTGACAGTTTATTTTAAAGAAGGATGCTTCAGCAGAACAAAAACTTATGATTAGACTTACTTTGTGACTTATTTCGGCAGCGTCTAGGCACGGCAACACACTGTCCTCATGCGCAGTGTCACGCTGATTTTTAGTTGTAATTTAGGCCCAATCAGCAATCACACAACATGTGTATGCCAATACAGCTGAACCATGCCAGAGCCCACCTCACCTCCAAGCAGGCAGTGGCACAGAAAACTCAACCACGCCTGAACGCAGTCAAAGAAAGTTGACTTTGCAAATGTAGATTGTGTAGAATGAGGTACGAATGAAAAAGTAACTTTAACCCCAGGCCAGTCAACTGATGAGGCTTGGGGCATTGGTGAAATAACCTTTACTATATCCTCTAACTTTAATGTCTAATATTTGTCTTTGCAGGAAGCTTAAAGTAACATTTTAACCCTCCATCACCAAGTATCTCATATTTGATGCATGAATTTCTGACTTTAAAAAAATCTAAATCAATTGCATAAGATGTTGCAAATATGATACAAATTAAAACTAATATATAGAAATTAATATTTGATTAATTTTTGCTTTAAGTTTTTTTAGAATGTTCAAAAAACACAAAAAAATTTTAAAATGTAAAATTTATGGCTAAATTTAATGTTTCAGGATTTACAGGGTTAAAACTGACATGATATGACCACCTTGTGGCCTAAAATAAAATAATTTGTGTTGGTGCAAATGGCTTTTTGGTTCATTACCTTTGCACCAATATGCCTAACAGACGCAAGTCTTTCACAAATTACTGGGAGCTGGATTTGGACAGATTCCTTTTATTTTATCGATCAATCCATGCTATCAAACTCAAGCAAAGTAATAACTAACAAAAATAAGATCCAAACGATAAACTGGGATTGTTATTTAATTTATGGACTATTTGGGCTGTGGTGGTGTAACTGCATTTCTACATTTCAATTATACTACTGCAGCAGTTATACTTGCGGACTGCATACAGCCCAAAGGTATCCTATAATAGGGCTCACCATGTCTTCTGGTCCAATCCTGTTATTGCCTTTGGCTCCCTGCTTGTTATTATCAGTACTTGAGGTATTCTGGGCACACTTTGGCTTTAAAAAAAAAAAAAAGGGCTGCCCTCTTCCTCTTGATCTTTACCCCTACTTAGATGACTCAGACTGAGAGGACATACCTCAAAAAGTTCAACAAACCCTGACCGAAGCCTGTGTTTGACTGAGAGTCTCCATAACCTGCCAGAACAGATTGTATATAAATCGGGGGGAAATGGGAGGGAAAGGAAAACCTATTTGTCTCGTATCGTTTACTTCATTCAAATGCTACCGTAACACCAAAATGGAATCTAATAACCTCCGTTGTGAAAAATATTCTGCCAATTTTCCCTCTCCTAAAAAAAACAACAAAACGCACTGGTTTGCAAAGGAGATTCAAATCGCAGGCAGCAGTTTGTGTTATAGAAATCCAAGTGGAGAAGAATGCCAGTGTTGCAACTGTGAAAGATCCCTCAGCTAATTTCCATGCTTCCCCCCTTCCCTCCTCAGCAGGCATGTGGTGGCGGTTGGGTCGGAGTCTTCGTGGTTGGTCTGCAAGTGAGGGGCTTACTGGGGCTCTGGTGTGTGGTGATGGAGACTCCATTTCTCTCTCTCTCCCTCTTTCTCTGATCCAACACACACACTCGGCTCCAACTCCGGCATGTCCCCTGGCATGAAACTCTGAGGGTAACACCAAATACACAACTTATGGCATTCATAAGAAATGTCTGACTCGGATTATGGGGGCTGAGGCAAAACAAAATTGTGAAATGTACAACAAATACCTAAAGGAAAAAAAAACGATGCTGTTCCCATGAGTCCTCTCTCCATTAGGGCGTAGTGTAAGCTACAACCTATAGCTCAGACGTTTCTAAGCATGTCGGTCGCGAGTTTATTTCTGGTGACCACATGATATAAGTGGCAATATAGTTTTTATGGATCTGAGTCCCAGAAAAAAAGAAGCTGAGGACCTCGTTTGTATCCCAGGAAAGTTTAAGAGCTCTGCCTTTCAGAGGAAACTGCACTCTCACATACAGTATGGGCAAAAGTTGTTGAAGCTAGGTTAAGAAGATGCTGAGAGAGCACTACAGATGTGATGTTTGCTTTGAGAGTGTTGATGGGGAAGTATTGAGAAGCTCAGAGTGTTTTTGTAGAATACATGTATGTGAATGAGAGAGAGACAGGTGTAACAGTGACGATCCAATGAGTACAAGTAATGACGGAGGATAATTAAATAATTAAAAATAAAAATAAAAAAAATAATTAAATACTTGGACTCATCCACACAAAGCAATGGACAGAGCAAAAAGTAGGTGATTTGTGACAGAAGGATAGCAGCAGGAGCAACAGGGAAGGTTTACAACATGGTAGTGAGATAGTTTGGAGAAAGGAGCACTGAGAGAAAGACAGAAGTTGAAGAAGACCAGGATGGGACAGATTAGAAATAATTACTTCTGAGGAAATGACTGGAGGAGGAGGGATGGTGGATATACTGGGCAAAGGATGCTGAATGTGGAGCTGAAGAGCAGGAGGAAAAGAAGAAGAACTCTGTAGTGAAAGAGGAGAGGATGTTAGGGATAGAGTGAGATGGACGCAGATGACCCATAAAGGGAGCAGCCGAAAGAAGTGGAAGAAGACGATGCTGTTTTGGTAAATTTACTTCTCCTTATCCATCCTTGCCTACCTGTGTCACCCACTTTTTCCAATATGATTCCTGAAATCCCATCGGAAAAACATGTGCGATCGATTCAGCGAGTATTTCCAGCTGAGAAAAAAGAATAGTCGCATCCTTTAATTATCATATTTTCTGGCCCATTAATATTACTGTCACAGGAATCAGCCTGACACTGGAAAAACTGATATTAACACCATCGATACCCCCTCCCCCTCTTTTTTTAATTGTATTTTTCTGAGTTTCCAGCATGTTTGAACTATTTCGTGAGTGTGCTGCAGCACTAAATGGATGTTTCATTTCAGTCAGGCTAATGAACGCCACAGTAACCTGTTTGAGGCACAGAGGGGCTTCTATTGACGTCGTGTTTACATTTTTAGGCCACACAGTGATGGAACACAGGGTGGGGGGAGGAAAGGGACTGCCGGTAAGCGTGGATTACAGCTGAGAGAAGAAGAAGAGGAAGAAGAAGAAGAAGATCAGCGATTGTGAGTCTAAAAAAACAAAAGGCGAGAGCCACAGATGGAGAGAAGAAAAGCAGCAGCGAGAAAGCACAAAACAGGGGCATCTCATCTAATCTCCCATTATCTCATGAAGATGAGAAGAAAATCAAAATGTTTGTTCTTTTTATCTGATCACAACTGGTGTGTGTGTATGAAATGGTGCCAGAGAGAGTTTAGGGCGACCTAGCAACCTGATGTTTGTTTTCATCACACCTCTCCCATCAGCATCTGGAGCAGGAATG